AAAAATGAAGCAGATATCAGCCTGTTAGCTGGATTAAGTGCTGACATCTAGTGGTTCTGTGATACAGTACTATTCAGGTAGTCTGCAAGCTACATCATAGCATAAAGTTAAAAAAAAATTACTTCATTATATAAGAACACGCCTTCAGCATGTAACAAATTTTGGACACTTCTAAAAAACAAAAAAATGATTATTTTACAATTTAGATAGTATTATTTCCTTCTATAAACTCCCATGCGTTTGGAATACTTGTGTTAAGAAAAGTCATTCTGAAACCTTGGAATTAAAGCAAGTTGTTTTTCTTTTTTCTTTGGGTCTGTGGATCAAACGCAGGGCCTCAATGTGCTGGGTAAGAATGCTACCACCGAAGTACAAGCCCAGCCTAGAACACAAGGTTTTCAAACTTATTTTTCGTGTAAGCATGCCATTCACAAATGCAGTGCTTTCCCATCAAAACCTCCTGCTACATGCAAAGATTTTCAGCATGAGCATGGAGAAGAAGTGGGAAGTCCAAGGGAACAGGTAATAACTCTCCTAAAGCCCTTGAAACCACTTTAAGTTTTTCTTTTGTGTCTGTTTATGGAGGCAGATAGCACCACTGGATAACCATGATGCTTAAAAGCATTGAAATTTCCTGGAAGGTTAAATCTAGTACTGTTTTGGTGATCACGATAAACACCTGCACTGAAAACATACACTTATTCAGCACGTGCTATCCTCAGCCTAGGCCTAGGGACATGGAATAAATTTTGTGGACCTCATCACTGAGAAATTTTAAGGTAAGGAGAACAAATATGTTACGGAAAAGTTGCCTTTAAGGTGATAGGTAGAACATGTGAATTATGGTAAAGGATAGAAAATGTTTTCAAAAGGCCTTTTGGCTCCCTGGTACCATGGCAGTTGTCAAGAGCAAAGGCCTTACATGAGGTGGCATAAAGGGGGACAAAAAAAAAGTGGTTTTTACATTTTCTATGATTGGTACAAGGTAAAAGTACGGCCTATGTTTAAAAGAAAGAAAAAGAAAGAAAGAAAGAAAGAAAGAAAGAAAGAAAGAAAGAAAGAAAGAAAGAAAGAAAGAAAGAAAGAAAGAAAGAAAGACCATGGAAAAACACCAGCCACCACAACCCAAGGAACCAAAATTGTATCTGCTGGCCTCAGAGGTCATGTGTTTGAATTGAGCCTTGCTGATTTGCAGAATGACAAAGGTGCATGTAGAAAATCCAAGCTAATTACTGTTCAAGGCAAAAATGACCTCACTTCCAAGGTGTGGATCTTACTCATGACAAACTGTGTTCCACAGTCAAAAAGCGATGGACTATTGTTGAAGCTCATGTTGATGTCAAGACTACCCCAGTGGTTATCTGCTTAATTTTTTCTAAGTTGATTTAACTAAAATTGTAATAATCAGATACAGAGTGTTTCTTATGATGATGGAAAACAAGATGTGAGAGGTTCAGAATAATGTATATATATAGAATAATGTTTATATTACATGAATATTATTAGAATAGTATATAAATATGTATAGTATAATGTGTATATTATACATACACACATATGAAATTTCAGACTAGACTAATTTCGAGATACAGGGAGAAGTAGGTTCCTATTTCCTAAGATGGGTATTTCAGTTTGGGAAGAAATTGAAAGTGACTCCTAATGCATTGTTTCCGAGATTTAGCTATTAAAACTGTGCCGTGATACACATGGGCATACATATATCACTGTAGTAAGGATTCTTTTAATTCTTTCAGGAAGATACCCAGAAAGGAAATAGTTGAGTCAAATGGGACCTCTAATCCTAATTTTTTGAGGAATATCCACACTGATTTCCACAGTGGTTGTACCAGTTTATTCTACCATCAACAGTGGAGAAGAGTTCCTTCATCCCCACAGTCTGCCAGCATTTGTTGTTGGTTGATTTGTTGATAACAGCCACTCTTTCTGAAGTGAGATGAAATCTCAGTATTGTTTCAGTTTGCATCTCTTAAATGACCAGTGATGTTGAACATTTTTTCATGTATTAATTTGCCATTTGTACTTCTTCATCTGAGAAGTGTGTATTCTTCTCAGATGCCTGTTTTTGGATTGGGTCTTTACATTTGAGGGAGTCTGATTTTTTTTCAATTCTTTATGTATTCTAGATATTAGTTCTTTGTCTGAGGAACAACTGGGTAAAATTTTTTCCCACTCTGTGGGTTGTTTTTTCACTCTGTGGTGATTTCTTTTGCTGTGCAAAAGTTTTTTAATAAGATGAGGTCCCAGTTGTTGACTCTTTGTAGTATTTCCTGTGCAGGGGTTTTGTTCATGAAATCTTTGCCTAAACCTACATCTTCAAGAGTTCTCCCTATTCTCTCTTCCAGCAGATTTAGTGTTTCTGTTCTAATATTTAGTTCTTTGATCCATCTTGATCTTAGTTTAGTACATGGTGAGGAACATGAATCAAATTTTAGTCTCCTGCATGTGGAAAGCCATTTCTTTCCAGCACCATTTATTAAAGAGGATATCTTTTCTCCAGTGAATGCACTTGGCCCTTTGTCAGAGATAAGGTGGCTCTGTGCTTTTGAGGTTGTTAACATGCCTCCTTCTCTATTCAGCCATGTTGAATCCCCACTTTTTAACTCTTTCAGAAAATGGAAAATAAATAATCACTTCCAAACTCATTTTAGATGACAAAAGCACCCTGATAACACAAAGATGTGTTAAAAACAAAACAAAATGAAAACACCATATAGGCCAATATTTCTAGTAGCATAGAAGTAAGCAGAAAATTGCTCAACAAAATACTAGAAACTTAAGTTCACCAGTACATTGAAAGGCTCCAACACCACAATATTGGGATTGAAGTCAGCTGTGTAAGGGTGGTCCAACATGCACAAACCATTCAGTGTGAAAAATCACGTTCTCAGAATAAAGTATGAAAACCAAAACACCTCAGTACATTTGGAAAAAAGCATTTGAAATACTTTAACACTATTTCATGATTTAAAAAAAACAGCAATTATTCACACACGTGGCCTCAGCACAGTAAAGATCCTGTATGGCAAGCTGAAAGCATTTCTTTAAAGGTCAGGAATAAGACAAGGTTGCCCATCTGGCATCTTTATTCAGTGCAGTACTATTAGCTATTGAAATTGGCCAAGAGAAAGAAGTTAAAGACATCCATATCAGACAGGAAGTAGTGAAAGTTGTCTCCATTTCCACAGGGCACATACTTATATACGGAAAACCTAAGATTCCATTAAAAAATCTGTTAGAAATAACAAATTTAGTGAAATTTCAGCCTACAAATTCTGCATGGAAAAATCAATTCCATTTTTATACACTTAAACTATCCCCCCATACAAAGAAAACAACTCAACAAATTATATGATCAACAAGAGTGAATACATGGGAGAAATTTAACCAAATTCATCTGTTGCCAGAAAATTATGGAACACCGATGAAATGAATGAGAAGTACAAATAGAAGGAAAGACATACTATGATTATGGATTGGAAGAATTAATACTTTTATAATGTCCATGCTACAGAAAGCAACAAGCAGAATGAATATAATGCCTATCAAAATATCAATGACATTTCCTATAAATAGAAGAACAGTCTGAATATTCATATGGAACTCCACAAGACTACAAAGTGTGTTCCCATATCTACATAAAAATATCAAAGTAGATGCATCACAATACCTGATTTCAAAGTATATTACAAGGTGACAGCCATCAAGACACTCTTACACTGCAACAACAGACACAAATTAAACAGACACCCCAGATACCAGTATAAACCAAAGTCTTACACTGAGGGCTTCTCTTTTGTTTAGCTTTTTGTTTATTTATTTTGAGACAGGGTCTTTCTTTATAGTTGTTGATGGACTTGAACTCAGTGTATATCTTGGGCTAGTCTGGAACTACCAGTGAACTTGCTGTGTGCAGGGATTACCAACATTTGTCATGACTCCTTGCTTAGTTAAGGAGTTTTTATCAAAGCTATGAAAGAACCAATTGTTTTGGTATTGTCTACAACCACAGCCCTCTGGGAGGCTGAAGTAGGAGGGTCACAAGTTCAAGGACAGCCTGAGCAACCTGTCTTTAAAAAATTAAAAATTAAAAATTGAAGAGGATGTAGCTAAATGCAGAGGCTCTGAATTCAATCCCCAGAGATTTAAAAAATTCTAGGAGTGTGGGTCACTCAGAGCTCTGGGTATACTGTGGCCTCACCCTTTTGGAATACAACATGCCCCAAGTATCTTGAACCTTCATAATTTTCTTGGGCAGTATTAGTCCTATGCATAGTAAAAGAAATTATAGGTTAGTAAGGCAGTGGTTATATTAACTAGATTGAATCTTTCTACAGTGGAGCCATAGAACAAAGCAGCACATTGTACCTTATAAATACACACAATTATTGTCAATCGCCGCATAAGGGTATCATATACCTGTAATCCCAGAACTCTGGAGGCTGAAGAAGGAGGACCATAAATTTAAGCTGAGGATGGTCCAAAGAGTAAATATTTAGACCTTGCCTCAAAACAACACAACAAAACAAAGCAAAAAAACAAAAAATTTAAAACTATGTGGGAACATATCTTAATGAAAAGTCCCTGATTCAAATTCTACTACTAAAAAAAAGGAAAAAAAAAAAGAATGATCAAATTTTTTCCATACTAAGATATCCAGATCGTGAGAAGATATACTTAGTAGCACATTTGCAGCTATCTCATTTAAAAGGTTAAAAAGAAAAAATATTAGAAAATGAAAAAAATGGAAATAAAGTGTTTGTAAATGGGAAAGGGAGGAGGGGGTGAAGGGAGGGCAGGGACAAGGGGAAAAAATGAGAACCAAGACCTGTCATGTAAAGGTGTAAGATCCCAATAATGAATGTAACTGTACTGTATACCTGAAATGTACCAATAAACTCAATGAGAAAGAAAAAAAATAAAAGGTTAAAAGAAAAATTTGAAACAATAAAAATACTTGACAGTAGATAAAGGTCCACGTAATGGTAAATCTTATGCAAGGTATGTTGACTAAGGCACACAGGCAAGAGAAACTGCAAATTTGTGTTGGTTAAATTACAGGTGCTTCTTATGTTTTCCTTTTTAAATTTTCTTCAGGACAAAATATTGAAATTATGTAATATAAATAACTTGTCCTCAGACTGTTTATAAAGAATCAAATCAGAAAGCACTGAAAATTCAAGGACACAGTTTCATAATCCTCACCCAAAAGAAATAAGCAAAGTAAATGAAACAAAACAACAAAACCCCTCAAACTCTGCTTAAAACTGTTTCAAAACACAGTTTGACAATTTTTTTTTTTTTGTAGCAGGGATCGAACTCAGGTCCTTGTGCTTGAGAGGCAGATGTCGGAACCACTGAGCTAAATCCATGACCCCTACTTTGACAATTTTTAAGTTAAATTGTACACCAACAGTATGACAGAGGAATTTCACATCTAAGTCTTTTCCCCAAGAAATGAATGTCTCTACCATACAAGCGCGTGTAAAAGAAAGGTCACAGCAGCTTCATTTTCAGGGTCAACACTGGACACAGAACAAGTGGCCATCAGCAGATAGACAGTTCATGCCCCATCCATGCAATGGCCTGTGATGACTCCGCCACTGACAAGAGGTAGCAACACGTGAAACCCAGATTGGTTTACTGCTTGAAGAAAAGCTACCAAAAACATTTATACTGAATGGCTACAGCTCCATCCCCTCTAGAAAAGGCAGACCCTCCATCAGGGACACAAACCACACGGATGGGAGGCCAGGAGGGGACAGCAGTAGCCACAAGAAAACTTCCCAGGTGACGTGTGAATGTGTTCTTCATCATGACGATCTCCACAGCCTCACAAAGACTGCGCCTTGCGGTCACCACCTGCTGTCCCCTCACACTACATCGCCGCACAGAAGGCTGCAGTCTGATTGAGTTCAATACCTGAGAGTGAATAGTTATCCATCTGCACCAGAAAGTTAAAACCAGCTATGAATCCTCCATTCCTGGCTATCCAGGGATTACACTTTGAAACGTCTATATTCCTTAGGGAAAATTATTACGGACATTTTGGGAACATTTCCACAGTCCCTACTAGAATTGAAATGGAACTGAAGTCAACCCAGGAAAGAAAATCATCCTAAAATCTAATAGATCTCAAAGTGGTGACATGAGCACAGTGTCTTGAGAGAGAATGGACCTTTTAGAGAAACACACTTCCCACTGTGATAGAAATATCCTAAGCATCCATATACTTCTTACATTAAAATAAAAATTCAAATTCAACAAAGTCTAAAATCACACTCAGCTATTCTAGGTTTTCATGGCTGTTTCTAAGGAGGATATAGGTGTGCTCCACTATGAAAAGAAAGGGGTCATAGCGTCTTCTTATCAGAGGGGCAGGGTCTGCTATGGACCCCTGCACATGACCTCACTTCCTTGGCGACAGGTCCAAACAGAACTCGGAACCCTCGAGTTACCGGACACCACAGTCTCACGACGGCTGGCTCACAGTCACTTGGCTGGAGACAGCGAGCAGTGAACACGCTGTGCTGCCTGCCCAGGCCTCGAGGCCGCAGCCTCAGGACCCCTCGCAGGGAAAGCACTTGGGAACGAGTGAGAGGATGGATGACTAAGTCCAGGCGCAACAGGCCACTGGGCAGGAACCGCCCTGCCCTCGTGGACAGCACAGGGCAGGCCTCACCAGACCCGGCGACCGATGACCTTGAGATGAGAGCGAGCCCAGGCGAGGTGTCCCCGGGCCTGGCCATCAGACGCGTAGAGCCACTGAGTCCAGGACAGGAACACTTAGGCCTGGCCGTCACTGTGAGTCCCCTGCACAGCGCTCACCCTGCTTCCTCAGCGTGTGTGTGTCCAGGTGGTGGGGGACCAGGTATGAGGCAGAGGCTCCTCCTGGGCAGGAGCAGGTGCTGCTGGGAGGCTGTGAGCCCTGGGTCCTGTCACATCTCACCCATGGCAGGGCTGGCAGGGGAGAAGGGCGGTGCCCCCCGATGACCCCCAGCCTCCAAGGTCATCTCCTGTCCTCCTGAGGGAGACGCCTGAGACAGAGATGTTTCTGTTTCTGGAGCACAAGGCACAAACAGCACAAACGGGTCAGGCAGAGACTCGTGCTTCGTGCCGCCTGCTCGGCACTGTCCCCACAGAGCCGCGTCCAGGACGACGGCCTGGAGATGTCCCTGGGGCCTGTGTGCCCTGTGCTGTGACACACACTGGGGCCACAATAACGACGGGTGCCAGCTGGGGTGTGGAGTATGTGTGTGAGCAGAGGGGACTCTGTCCTGAGGCCACGGGAGGACAGAGGGGCCCTCGGGACAGGTAACCACTTCATCTCCCTGCAGGGCCCAGGGAACGGTTCAGGAAGGTCCTGGTGCCAAAGAAATCTGAGCCCCCTGTCCTCAACCAGCACATCCTCTCTGCTCAGCCCCCACTTGGCCAGGGGCAAGGTCACCGTCCACATGTTGGCGGGAACATCGGAAGAGGAACAGGCACACCGTGTCACTTCTATCCTCTCATAATTTCATTCTGCCATTTCACCTCCTCGTAGGTCCTGGCCCAGGTGCCCATGTGGCAGCTGCTAGATGTCCAGGACCCCTGGGCTAAAGGACCTTCTACAAGGGTGGCAGTAAGCACGGCCATTCAGTCTCCCTTGGAGAAGAAAGCTGGACCTGACTTCTTCCTGGACCATTTCAACAGGAACCCGGGGGACATTCTGTGTGACCTCCTAAGTGGACCTGGGGTCCCAGGAGGAGCCTCTGTTTACTCATCTCTTCCCTGGGTCAGGTCTTGGGCCTCATACGTTGTTGCTTTTCATGCATGGAGCTACATAAACCTTTGTTCAGCTAAGGAACTGGCCTGAATATGTTAGCACTTCTGTGTCCCTTATAATATTGAACTTGTACCCTGAGGATCACTTTCTGCTGGGGCCTTCTTGTGCCTCTTCTGGTATCAGCCACTACACACATTGTCGAGTTCGGTCTGGCCCTCATCCTCAGCCCTCCGGATGAGCCGTGGGTGGGACTGCAATTCCATGTCTCTCCACTTTTCCTCACAGATTGGAAATCTGGAGGCCCAGAGCTTGGATGAGGTCTGCATGGTGAGGGCCGCATGGGCAAGCATGCCGTCCCCCCTGACGGAGGACTTCCTGGACAGCTACTCCATTTATGACAGCTCCTTCCCGGAGTCCGCTGAGTCTTGCATTTCCTTCCTGTGGGAGGGGATGCTGGGAAGGTAAGCTCGGCTCTCAGCGGCATGGTGGGCCTTGGTCACTAGGACTCCAAGTCTAACGAATGTGCAATCACCTGCCTCAGCCTCACGTTGCAACACTGAAGAGTGGGTGCTGAGAAGATGAAGCTCATTTCATGACTGTAGGATGAAGTGGGGTCTCTCTCATAAGTGTGAACCCTGGGTTTGGCCCAGGGGAAGACCATACCTAATGTCAGGGATGATTTTCTTCCCCTGCCCTGACCCCTGCACTTGGGGAAAGTTGCTGTGCTCACCGTAAAGGAGGTTGCAGTCACTGGACGGACTTCAGGGTGGTCCCAGAGCAGGAATCCTTGGGGGAGGCAAGGGCCCAGGTCCACGCAGACCTCATGAAGGAGCAGGTGACTACATCACTGGGGACACTGGGGCACTGACTACAGTCCCATCACCGGAGCAGTTAAAACCCCTTCCCTCTGGGCTTTCAGTGCAGTTGGGGTCTACAAGTCACCCCCAGAACACCGAGCAGGTGTTCCTCACAAGGCAGTAGAGGAGGCCCCTCGTGCCCTCCCTAGGTACGGATTCCCAAGAGGGCAAGAGGAGCCCACAGGGCACAGAGAACTGGCGAACACATTGCTCCATGAGCGACAGCCTGAGGGGAGGCAGGGCAGGACAGATGCCTGCTGCCCCTCACCTCTCAGACACTGAGTTATGGCGCAGCAACCCTGCGCCCTTGAGTGCAACCACCCAGCAGACACCAGTCCTCAGGGAGCTGACCGTGGGGACGGGCAGAGAGTCAGCGTGTCAGGCCACCGCGAGGAGGCAGAGGTGCTCAAACTGCTGGACAAGGTCTCCCCCGCATGGAGCCTTCAATCGGGCTTCAGGGCTGCCTGGGCCAGGACTGCTTCACTGTGCAAGGGAAGAGGGGAGAGAGGAGAGCTGCACTTTGGCCAGGAGGCCCACGTGTCCATCCCTGCAGGTGCCCTGGCAAGTAGTGTGGGGGTCAAGACCGGGCCCCTCTGTTTACTGCTCATTCTGTCCACTCCAGCTCCGTGTCGTCTTCCCTTAACTCCTTATTAGAGCTGCATGACCAGGGGGATTCAGCAGATGAACTTCTCCTGGACCCACAGGAGCACGCTGAGCCCGGGGAGGCAGAGCCCCAGAGTGAGGAGGACTGGGGTATGGCTCTGTGGGCACGTGGGAGGGCATGGACTTTGGGCACAGAGAGAGCTTCCCGATCTAGGAGACCCAGGAACACGGAGACACTGGATCCAGCGGGAGGATGCAGTCTGGGAAGACTCCCTGGGGGTGGGTTTGTGCACAGAGCTCTCTCTGACAGGCAGTTGGGAGGTTTTGCCCTGGGAAGGACCCTTGCTGATGTGTCTTTCTCTTGCAGCTGCGGGGCCAGCTCTAGCCCAACTTGAAGTCGCACCTGTAGAGTGTGTGCCAGCTCCACTTTTAGCTCCCTCATCGGCTCTGACACCACAGCCAGAGCCAGCGCCAGGAGCCCCTTCTCCACCAGCTGCACAGCTGGGGGTCCCTACGGATGCACGCCAGGCATCAGTTCCTGAGCTCCAGCTGGGCCAAACTACTGCCCCACCCCTGCCATTCCCGTCCATTACTGTTGGACATGTTTTGGCATATATTTTTGCTCTTGTTTTCTGGATTTATGTAAACAATAGAATTATTTTTAAATAAAAGTTAAGAATTTAGTCTTGTTTAAAGCAACCAGCTTGGTGGCATGATGTGCCTTCTCAGTATAGTGCCGCTGTCATTGCTGTGTGGGTCGAGAGCATTTTCCTTAGTTCTGTACCAGTGAGTGGTTCCTCCCCTCTCGCCTGGTGCTTCTCCCTGGCCACCACTCATCTTACATCGCTGTACATTGTCTATTCTACATTTTTCACACCAGTGAAATTAGATTCCTCTGTAGCCACAGAATCCTGGAGGGTACTATGAATATATGCTTTTTTATACAGTGAAAAATCCTAGATGATCCTATCTTTTTCCTGTTCAGTAATTATCCAGCTTTTATGAGTGATATACAATTTTCATTCCAGTAAAATAAGAAATGCCACATGAATTAATAAGAAAACAAGGTCAGAGTCACCTGTGACCAGGCACTGTGGCCTCCCCTGAGGTGCTCCTCCTGTCTTCATCCTAGGGTTCAAGCTTGTGTGTCTTTGCTGCTGGTGGTGAGTGTGTCAGGACATGGGTCTTCTGTCATCTCATGTACCCACTTTGCACATTCAGTGGCACACAGTTGTCTCAGCAACCTCTGCTCTGGACAGTTTACAAATCAGTAAAGATTTTTTTCAGTACTGGGGATTGAACCTAGTATCTGCTCACTGAACCAGATCACCAGCCCATTTAATTTTTGTTTTTAATGATGTTATAAAGCCTCAGTATTAAGTAGCTCAGTTTTCTATCCAGGGCTTGAACGCGTGATCTTCTTGCCTCATCCTCCCAATTTACTGGGATCACAGAGGTTTAGCGTCTCACCTGGCTTTGTTGATCAGTTTTGAAAAACAAAGCAGAAATCTACCTCTAGGCCTGGGTGTCCACCTTAGGGCTTGGGTGTATTTGGGATCCTTGTTGAGGGGTGTGGACTCCACCAGAGGGGGGATTCTCCCTGAGAGGCCATGAACTCTGTGCTCTTGCGCCAGGTGAGTGAGCATAATTCCAGGGCTGCCCAGCCTAGGTGGTCACCATGGGCTCTGCACTGAGCTCCCTCCCACACTGCCCTGCTATGCACAGACTCCACACACTTTCCCACCTTTTCAGCAAGGTGAACTTTGCAATGAGGCCGCACAAGCCCATCCCAGGGAGACCTGTCCTCCTCTAGCTCCAAGAATCCTTCCTGAGGAGTAGGAGCTACAGACAGCCCCATGCCCGTCTGTGCCATGACACAGGAACTAGTTTCTCAGTCTCCGTGCGTGGTCGTCAGCTCATGACCTGCTCCGTGCTGTCACGGGCTCCCGTGTGACTTCACATACTCCCCTGTCCTTCACAGATGCTGCTAGGCTCTCACACTGTGCACTGCTACCCCCTGCCTTTGCCATAAAAAAGTATCATCCAGGTAGAGTCACACCTCATTCTGGAAGTTCCTGGGTACAGGGATTTTGTTCTCCATAGAAAAAACTTTGAGAACAATCTCAAAGGCCCAGGTCTGGCTTCATTTCCATTCTATCCATTAAATGTACCCACTTCCCCATGAATGTAATAATTATGGCCTTTAAACCTGTAGTAATAAAAATATAACAAATTATAAACAAAACCAACTGGAGAAAAACCTGCAGAGACCTGAGACCCTTTACCTGGCAGCCCAGGGCCCTTCAGGCTGATGCAACCTGACGAACAAAGCGACAGCTCTCCTGAAGCCAAGGCTATGTAATAGGATTACTGTTACCCATCTTGGTATAACAGGAGTGTGCATTTTTGAAGTAGAAGTTTTCTCTCTCTACAACCCATTGTTGATAGATGGAGAGCTTGCTATATGCTGACTATGTAAGATACCTACATTTCACCTTTGGGGAGACAAGCAAACCTGCACTCCCAAGTGAATAGTTGGTGATGCCTGAGTCTATAATGTGGTCTCTCAGTTCCAGAGGTTGATGCAGGACGAGAAAAAATAAGTGACATTAGACAAAGTTTTCATCAAAATGAACCCTTCAGCTAAGAGACAAAAAAAAAAAAGAGGAGTAGAAGCCCTTGAGGGCGATCTCCCCAGTACCCTTACCGAGGGGGACTTTCCTCCAAAGAATAACCTCCTCCCCACCCACTTGTTCGCCACACCAGAAGTCATCTAAAGCAAGAGCAGTGTTCTTTGTTTACATAATGTTCTGTGCTCTCCGTTGTTTTCAGGTTTGATTGTTTGTTTGTTTGTTTGTTTTGGTACGGAGGATTGAATTCTGGAACTTGTGCTTGTGAGAACCACTGTGTATTCTACTTTGTTTCATATTTTTGTGGTTAAAAACTACATGTGGTTTAGAATGGATTAAACTTATTTATATTGACTTTATGAAGAATTTGATTCAGGTCATGACCAGTTTGGTTGGAGACCAGAATAGTGGAATGAATTAAGTTTATGAACCAATATTATACTATGGTATAACTAGTTCTTGCCTCTTTCCTCAGTTGCAGACTCATACCTAGCCTCCTGCTTGACAGTTACTCTTGGATATCCAAAAACATTTTTCACTTAGAGGACTCTGCCATACTCACTCATCCTCCAGGGTCCTCCATTTTAGTAACTGGCAGCTCCACTGACAAGGTAACTCAGGCCCAAATCTTTAAACTTTGTCTTAGACTCTTGATAACTCTTCTTCTCTCAAACTCCTTTTCATATCAGCAAAGTCTCAAAAGCCATCACATCACCATTTTACCAAAACAACTCTGGGTCATGGCGTTACTGAGTCATCTTTCACTGCATTGTTGCAATGACCCCCTATCTGGTGTCTGGTTTACACTTTTGTATCCATTACAGCTTGGTCTTGACTCAGTAGCTCAGGTTATATCTTTTGAGATACACATTGGATTACACATTCTACCAGCTCAGATAAGTTGGCGGTTCATTCAACTGTGGTTGTATTATGAGACAGGTTCTGATGAGGTCCCTCAAAGAAGTTGAGACTTCAACTGACCCCACCAATTTGATTGTGGGTTCAATGACTTACATCACAGATAAAAACTGCTGGATGCATTAGGGAGAGGCATAGAAAAGATTTATTATGCACAGTTAAAGATTGCAGTTGCTCATGGGGCAAGATGTACTGTGGTCTGGGGCTGTGAGTATTCATGAGGTCTTGGGATGTCTTCAAGATATCTAGGACACATATTTCTAGTGTCTGTCAGGTTACCCATTTGCTGGGCTAGGTTACAATGCAAAGTATCATGTATGTGTTTGAAGTCTAAAAATATGCTTCTCCCTTATTAATGCTGTTTCCCTAGAATACAAGTCTGGTGGAGGAAAAGTAGAGGGTTACATACAGATAAAAAGCATTGGCTCAGTTTATAGGCTTGGAACTGTTTTTCTTTGAAGTAGGTTTCCTGGAAAGGAAAAAGACTTTGTAACAGTAGTTAACTTTGTGTCCCGAGGCTGCAGTTTTTCTTAAAAGTACAATTTTAAAGTTATAATTTTTCTTGTCTTCTTTCTACTTACCTTTGTTTCTTCTCTCTCACCTACCCTAATACCCCTTTGACCTTATTTCACCAAGCTTACACTATCCTAATTACATTAGGCTTTTCATTGTTATTCCAACCCTCCAAGTTCCTTCCCACTTCAAGAATTTTTTACTTGCGGTTCCTTTTGCCTTCGCCCACCCCTCACCACACTGAGAATCGAACTCACAGCCCTGAGCTTGCTTGCAGGCAGGCATGGTGCCACTGAGCTATATCCCGGCTGCCCTTTTTTTTAAGCTGACATTATATTATTTCTCTTTCTTTATGTTTTACCTACTAGAGTACAAATCCATGAGGGTGCGGTTATTATATGTCTCATTTAATATTATTTCCCCAGACCTACAGTATCACCTGGAACAGAGTAGTAGGAAGTACCAAGTGACATCAAGCCCTGCCTTTGTGAATGCCACAGTCCTAGTAAGCCATGGGTGAAGTTCTGAAGAACTAGTCCCTGAAATGTCGAAGTGTCTGGGCTAAACCAGAAGTGTGGGATTAGATAAGTGTGAGTTTGAGCACAGAAATCTATGGTTAATTAAGATAGAACAGAAGCCTGTATGGTGGCACGGGCCTAGAATCTCAGCACCTGGGAAGTTGAGGTAGTAGGATCATAAGTTCACCTCGAACATATAGCACCTTAGAAAGATCCTGTCTCAAAGTAAAAAATAAAAAGGTCAGGGGACACAGTGCAATTTGAAGGCTCCAAGTTTAATAACTAAGATTAAATATACTTTTGAGCTGTGATATGTGCCTGGCTAAAATAAAGCTGGAAAAAAATTACTCCTTCCTTGGTAATGAATTCTAGAACCTCTACGGCTCAGGCTGGAAGGGCTGACCAAGAAGACTTGACCCTCTCCAAAGTGATCTAGGTCAAGATGATTATGGGATATACAGCATTCCCAAGTGGCTATTATGGAAGGCAGAAGAGACAGCAACTTTTGTAAGATCAGTTTAACTTTCTCTGAAAGCAACAAGTGCTGAAGCATTCCATTAATTGAGAAGTACTGGGGTTCTAGTAGCTCTCGTAGTGTTAAAAATGAAGAAGGATCCAAGATATAAATGTAAAGACAGATAAATGAAACAACACATAGAGAAGGGTGAAGGGGTGAAGGGAGGGCAGGGGAATGGGGAAAAAATAAGAACCAAGACACATCATGTAAAGGTGCAAGATCCCAATGATGAATGTAACTGTATTGTTTACCTTAAATGTACCTTAAATGTATAAACTTAATGAAAAAACCAAACCAACCAAACAAACAAAAAACAAGGGAAACAATGCAATAACAAATTGTCAGACTGTTTCCATAGAATAGATTTTAAGGATGTGCTGCACAAGGTTTCTATTTCACAGACACAGACTTTTGAAATTGAGTAAATAATTCTCTTATTCTCTGTGTTGGCCAATATTGTGGTGTGTGACCGTGGCAGCATGGAGGGTGAAAAGATTACTCATACACGAGACTTGGTCCAAACACCAAGAGGCCCAGGGGGCAATCCAATGAGAGCACACATCGTGAGGGAGTCTCAAGGGAACAGCTCTGAACGGAGAGCTTCTTGGCTTTTATTTCAAATATTAGAGAAAAAGCAGAAAAGAGTCGTACCAAGGATAAGAGGTTATGAGTGCAAGGGGAAAGACAGTGGCTGGACACAATGTGCTTTACTAGTCTAAAAATCTTGCTTTTTTCAGCACATTTTGTTGAGGACCTATGTGCTTTTGCCTCATAGGCCCTTCCTTAATCTTTAAACATACATTTCAGGGCTTACATGCTTTTGCCTCACAGGGCCCTTCATGATTTTAATTATTCATTCCTCTAGCCAAGTCCACCACAGGCCAAATTATTTCATGTCTCAGCTCTTACATTTTGGGCAACTGCTTATCTCATGTACATGGCTCCTGAGAGAGAAGCCTATTTATATAGTTTGACTCTACTCCCTAATCCAAGAAATGGCCATCAAGAAAAGCTGTAAAAGATTGTGTTTCCCACCACGAAATACAGCATGAAACAGATGAAATACCAAACTGTTATTATATTATGGCTCCTTTTCAAACAATAAAAATGGAAGCTTCTACAGTGGATGACGTTTTTCTAAGATACAAGGTTTGTTGGGGCAGAGTAAAGAATTTTAATCAGGCTGGTCCCTACAAAATCAATTTTAGTATGCAAGAAGGGTTCGACAACTGTGGGGAATTATTAATATAAGACTGAGAAAGTTGAGAACAGATTGTATTAAACTTTGAATAACATGCTTCGGAGTTTGATTTTAACTTGTGGACAGTGAGGACAGCTGCCGAAATTCTGAGACAGGAAGTAAATGTTTTAAGCTGTCCAGTAAGAAAATAAGTCTGGCAGAGACCAGAAAGAGTTCTTTCTGATGGTTCCCCCTGCTCTTGGTGTCACAAGTCACCTCATCGTATCAATAAGTCCTTTGTTAAATATCGGGTAGTTAAAACTGAATTTCTGTCACTTGAAACTGAAAATTTTTGATTAATAAATCTCAGTTTATAGATGATTAAACTGAAAATCAGGGACTTTGATGAATCACAGTTTGTGTGTTTGTGTGTGTGTGTGAAGATCAGCACCAGAATGTCCAGATCTCTACTCCATAGCCCCAAGCCACTTTGCCCTGGGAAATCAAATCTTATGCTTTTTCACTACTCTTTTGTTTTGAAGAAAAAATAAACAAATCAATTTGTCATGGGCAATTGCAGGGATCCAGCTTGACCTGACTGTAGCCATCTTTGTTGTAGCAGCCATTTTGCCCACCAGGTGACTCTGGCATGAATTCCAGAATCTACAGGATAAACAAAGTTGTTAAGAGAGTCAAGTGTTTTGTCTCTGCCATTGACACTCGGACTCAAATCTCATCCTCTCTCCCATGCTTCTCTCTTTTTCTGTTCTCTCTCTCTTCCCCTTTCCTTCTTTCCAACAACTGTTCTGATACTTTATTTATGTGTATATTTATTTTCTTTTGCATTGTTGAAGATGAAATCCAGAACCTCATATACTAGGCAAGTGCACTTACCATTGAGCTACATTCCCAATCTCCTGACTGCTTAACTATTTTGACACATTAATAGTCTCTTTTGAAGTTAGAATAAAACTTTTATTTATTTTTATTTTTTATGAGTATGTTTGCTTTACATGATGTTCGCATTTATCTTAGAAAGTAGATAGGTGTACTTAACATATCTTGATTCTTTTTATCTTCCTTCCCCTCCCTCCTCACTCTATCTCTAAATCCCCTTGCTCCATTTCTACTATCGTCATTATTTTAGTTCATGTTTGTGATAAATGATTACATTCGTGGTGGGTAGTTAGCCCATGTGCATGACACATCGTATATTTTTTAATGTGTCCTTCCTCTTCCTTCTTCGTCCTCTACCTCAGTCTCTTGGTCCGCTTCTCATTTCCATAAAATCTATTTCCGTTTCCTCTCATCAACCATTTATTTTGCTCATTATTTGTACTTTGGCTTACTCAAGTGAAAGAAACCATACAGTATTTAAGCTTGTATGTCTGACTTACTTCACTTGATACTGTTTTCAGAGTGTCCATTTTCCTACAAAGGTCTCCAATTTTCCCTTCTTCATAACCAAGTAGTATTCCATTTTGTGTAGAAACCTCATTTTTCTTTAGCCATTCTTTTTGATGGACATATAGGCTGTTTCCAAGATTTCAGCTATTATGAATTGTGTTACTATACACATTACTATTCATGTATTGCTATAATATGATGACTTTAACTCTTTGGAGAGAACACCTAGAAGGGGGTATCTGGATTGAATGGAATTTCTATTTTTAGTTTTTTGAGAAATCTCCATACTGATATCCACAATGATTGTACTAGTTTACATTCTCACCATCTGGATAGAAGGGTTTCTTTTTTTCACCACAGCCACGTCAGCATTTGTTATTATTTGATTTCTTGATGATTGCTATTCTTTCTGGAATAAAATAAACTCTCTGTGTTGTTTTAATTTGCATTTCTCTAGTGGCCAGAGATGCTGAACATTGTTTCATGTATTTATTGGCTATTTGTGTTTCTTATTCTGATAAGTGTCTATTCATTTCAGTTAGCCATTTTTTGATTGGGTCTTTATTTTGAAAGTCTAATTTTTTTTAGCTTACTTATGTATCCTAGATATTATTCTTCTGTCTGAAGCATAGCTGGAAAAAATGTTTTCCCATTCTGTAGATTGACTCCTCAGTCCTCACTGTTTCCTCTGCTGTGCAGAAGCTTTTTTATTTGATTCGAGCTGTTATTTCTTGTGAATCGGAATTCTATTCAGAGGACATTTGCCTACTTTAAGAGTTTTATTTCCTCTTTTTACTAGGTTAAATGTTTCTGTTTTAATATTTAGATCTTTGCACCATTTTGATTAGTAAGAGATACAGGTCTAGCATCAGTATTCTGCATAGCAAATTTTCCCAGCACCATTTGCTAAAGGGGCTATCTTTCCTCCAAGCTCTGTTTTTGGCCCCTTTGTCAAAGTCCAAATAGCTGCATATTGTTTCTGCATCCTATGTACTGTTTCACTGATCCATGTATCTGTTTTAATGTCAATATCATGCTGTTTTTATCACTGTAGCCTTGTAGTATTGAAGTCAGGTATTGCTGTGTCTCCTGCTCTTTGTTGCATAAGATTGCTTCTGCTACTCCAAGTCTCTTCTGGTTCCATACACATTTTAGGATTTTCTTTTCTAGCTCTGTGAGGAATGCCGTAGCTTCTTTGATTGGGATTGCATTAAATCTATATACAGCATCAGTTTTGGAAGTGTGGTCATTTTGACGGTATTGGTTCTGCCTATCCAAGAACAGGAGATGTCTTTTCATTTTCTGATATCCTCTTTCATCTCTTTTTTCCTGGGTGTTGCAGTTTTTATTGTTGAGTTCTTTTGTAATGGCAGACTTACAGTCCCAGTGTGGCAGCTCTTAGTGGTATAGCAAGATTAGGCCAAGAAGAATCAAGAACGTACCCGGGGGTTGGAGGTAAGTTTACTACACCAGCGGACTGATTGGGGGGACTGATCAGGGATTTCTCCACAAAGCGATCAGTCTGGAGCTAGCAATGAACAGGGTTTATATGGGTTAAGGGAAGGGGGAGAGGGGGTACAAAAGCAAGGCATTTATCATCAGTTTATTGGTTGAGGAAGTTACATTTAATTTATGTGATTTGATAGAAAAGTACGCTGGGTACAGACACTTCCTGCGAACAAAAGACAACAAGAGAGAACACATGTTAGGTGTGGGAGTGGGTCTGAGCTGGGGGTGGTTCTTTTTCAGTTAGGTCAGCTGGCCAGAGGAAAAACCTTTTTTCTCAGAAATTGTTTTCTGGCTCACTTTCATTTCCTTGGTTAGTTTAATTCCTAAGTAATTTTTTTCTTGATGCTGTTGTGAATAGTAATGTTTTCCTAATGTCCTTCTCTGTGAGTTCATTATTGGTGTATAGGAATGGTACTGATTTTTGTGTGTTGATTTTGTATCCTGCTACATTGCTGAACTGGGTTAGTTCTAGGAGTCGCTTGGTGGAATTTTTTTGTGTTCTACGTAGAGGATCATGTTATCTGCAAATAATGATAACTTGATTTCTTCCTTTTAAAATATGTATTCCTTTTATTTCTTTCTCTTGTCTGATTTCTGTGGATAGTATTTCAAATACTATGTTGAACAGGAGTGGTCTTGTTCTTAATTTTAGAGGGAGAGCTTTCAATTTTTCCCCATATATTATGATGCTGGCTGTTGATTTGTCATTAATGGCTTTTATCAGATTGGGATAAAGTCTTATTCCTACTGTCTTCAGGGTTTTTATGAAAGGGTGCTGTATTTTGTCAAAAGCTTTTTTCTGAATCTATGCATTCTATTAAAAAAAAGTACCAAAAACAAAAACAAACAAACAAAACTTGAGATACAGGCACACCAAGCGAGCACTCCAAAAAACAACCAAGAATATCTTAGACAGGAAACAGAGCCGAAATTTCAGATGGAATGAATACATTAAGGCAAAATGCTAAATAATAAAGAAAGAAAAATGAAGGAGTCACCAACGGGAAAAAATGCAGTGACAGGAATAAATCAGTATATTTCAGCAATATCCCTCAATGTTAATGGCCTCAATCCCCCAGTCAAAAGACGCAGACTTGCAAACTGAAATACGCAGAGTTGGCCCCAGACGTGTCTGGTTTGTGCAACTCATTTGTTCCCTCAGACTATTTCGGATGCTCTCAGGTGGCTGCTCGCCCGAGGAGCAAGGACATGGACGGTGCAGACCGGTTGTGGCCGCATCGTTCCCCCTTTCAACAATACAGATATTTGCTCTGAGCTACAGGTATCATCCTTCAGGTCAGTGTTCTATTTCAGGGTGTAAGTACTTCCCCCACTTCAGAGCACCTGTATTTTCAGTGAATCTTCTCTGAATATCTCTGACGTGACTCCTCCTCCTGTCAGCTGTGTCAAATCTCATGATGACAGTTTCTGAGGAAGCCCAGGATTGGCCCACTTCTGTCTGCCTTTGTATTGAAACCAGGTAAGTATCCCTTTTTGCAAATGATGGAGATGGAATCTTCCAAGTTTACAAAACTTTTCTTTGCCTCATGGTATGGAGATCCTCTTCTTTTACGCTTACACTTCTATCTGTAAGCCTCTAACAAACTGCATTCTGTGTAATGCTGAATTTGTCCTCTATCTTTGCCCCCTTAGCTCCTTCTGACTCTGCTGGCCTAATCTTATACATCCGGTCTTTCTGAAACAGCAACTGAGAAGAAGCTTTTTGCAACGATGGGATATGCACTTATTAAATTAAACATGCATTAAATCCTTCTTCACAAAAGCTTTGCTTCCATTTTTTCCCCTGCTTTTCTTTTCTTTCTTTCCCTTCCAAAGATTTTGTAAATAAGGAACGGAAGAGAGGTTGAAGGGAGAGTAGGGAAATGGGAAAAAATAAGAATCAAGATATATCATGTACAGATATAAATGTACAGATATCATGTACAGATGAATGTGATCATTGTGTATATCTAAAGTGTACCAATAAACTTAATTATTTAAAAGAAATCTTCACTCCCACCTTGCCTTGTTTGCACTCACCTCTATGACTGTGCAGTAGTAGCCTTTTAACTTACCCAGCTGTTACTGCGTCTTCCCACTACCAGCTACTAATCCCCCCCATACTGCCCATCAAAGCAGCTTCAAGCTCCTAAGCATGATTTGAGGCTAACAGAAATCTAGCTAACCTGTTAGCCTAATTACAGAATCCATAAGCCTTGGCTAAATCAGCTTTTAATGCTCAACGAGTACCAGCTGTTATTATTTTTGTTACGCAGATTGTCCTGCTTATTTCTATTCCTCCTGTGTAAATGTGACCTCCTTCAGGCATGAAATCCCCCTGGTTCTACTCTTTCCCCACACTGAAGTGTTGATTCTCTTTCTCTAGTCTCCAAGTTTTCCAGCACACTTGAAAGATTCTCTGGTTTGCTGCATGTTACTGTCACATTTGAACATGTCTTAACTTTCCAAAAGTTGAACTCAACTGAAGAAAAATGCCTTACTCTTTATTGTATGTATATCTTACATATAAATAACTGTATATGTGTTGAATTTGGAACTAACTTACCAATGATGAGGTGAACTCACCAGCACTCTTTATCTAGCCAAAATTGAATTTTTAGGCTGGGTGTGGTGACACATGCCTGTGATCCCAGCAGATTGGGTAGCTGAGGCAGGAGGGTCCCTGTGAGTTTGAGGCCGGTGTGGGTTACAAAGTGAGTTGAAGTTCAGCCTGTACTTCAAAGTGAGAACCTGCCTGACAGAAAAAAAAAAAATTAAATGTTTAAAATGATAGCCGTTTACTAAAATGAGGGAGAAATGGCTTAAAAGATACAAGTTCAGTGATACTAGTTTTCTTAACACTATTATTTTTTGATAGGAAACAAGCTTTTTTATGTTGCCATCTAACGTGATTACTGAAGTCATTGAACTCACTATATAAAGTTCAGAAAATCCTTTTTTCCTTTTGCAGTGCTAACAATAGAACCCAAGGACTTGTGTGTGCTAGATAAACACCATCACAGAGCCACATCTCCTGCCTCAGTGTGGCGGTCCAGCCGTCACAACACGAACGTGTCTGAGTCGGGGAGTGAGGATTGAGAAAGGAAAGAACACTCAAGCCTGAGTGGAGACGAAGAGAAGTCTCATTTATTTCACAGAAACAGCTCCTTTTATAGGTTCACATCAACAGGAAGCACCAAGCAACTATTTGTATCTTTTATGCAAAGACCGGATTTTCTGACTCTTTGCAAAGAACATCAGATCTTTGGCTGTCTCCTTGAGTTTCTTCCGTTGCAGCAACAAGTTTAACAAGCAGAGTCCTAGAATGTTACAGATTGTATCAATGCCTTGAGTGTAGAGGTGAAGAAGTTTCCTTTTAAATGTCAAACTCCTAGAGGGCCATGGCCGGGCTCCCACACCTCAGAAAACTCTTGAGAGGACTAATCACTGATTTCATGTCACTTAATCATATATCACAGTACTGGAGACTGAACCTAGGGCCTCATGAGTGCTAGGCAAACTATAGTCTCAGCCATTGTCTTATTTTATTTTATTGAGACAGGGCCTTATGATGTAGTTCAGGGTGGCTTTGAACTCACAGCAATCCTCCTGGCTCTGCCTTCTGTGTGCTGGAATTATAGACATACACCACTACTTGCTGCTGGTCATTTTTATTTTGAGACAGGATTTATTAAATTTCCTGGGCTGGAATTGAACTCAGAATTACTCTCCCTTAGCCAGTGGAGTAGCTGGGGTTATAGGCATGTGCCACTGCTCCTGGTTTCATTTAAATTATTATAAAAGCCGCAAACTTCTACAAATGTTTGAATGGTTAAAGTTTTTAAATCTCAGTATGAGTTGATTTTGAATATCATGTTTGTAGGTATTCTAATACTGCCCTTTGGAAGATATAGTACTGCTCTTTTTTTTTTTTTTTTTTTTTTTTTGGCACCAGGTATCAAACTGGGGACCTTGTGATTACGAGGCGGGTGGTAGCACCACTGAGCTAAATATCTGGCCCTTTAGTGTTGCTCTTAATCTTAGCATAAACCACAAATATTTTGGTTTATGAAAGTTTGAAATGGCAATTTATTTTGAGCCTAGTAAAAATGTCCTACTCTACACTGTCCATTTAATGCAGTTTATGAAAATGGCTATAATTTACATTTCCCTTAAAAACTAATTTTTTTTTTTAGTACTAGAGATTTAACCCAGAGCCTTCACAGCATGCTACATCCCTCACCTTTTATTTTTATTTTTTATTTTGAGACAGGGTCTTGCTTTGCTAAGTCTCTAAGTTGCCCAGGCTGGGCTCAAACCTGCAATGGTCTTGCTTCAGAGTCCTAGAGTGCTGGAATTGCAGGTATTTGACCCCATGCCTGGCTGGTAAGTAGATTATTAGTTTAAATGTCCTCATACTGGAAATTGAACTTGGGATCTTGTGCTTGTGAGGCAGGCACCAGTGCCACTGAGCTAAATACCCAGCTTGTTAGATTTGGTTTTAAAGAAGAACCTTTTCGCACTAATGGGATACACACTTATTAACCTGGTTTCATAAGAGATATTAGAATGTTTTTCTATTGTAGGGCCATATTATATTTCTTAAGACTAGTATAGCATGAACGTCTTCAACTTCTTGGGTAGCTTGTTTTTGAGTGGTTAGAGCACTTTATATAAGAATTATTTATATGTGTTTTGTAAGGAATTTTTCTATAGATAATCTGCCTGTTTACTTTCATAATGATGTATTTTGCCAAGAAAGTTTTAAATATTAATATCACATTTTTGCTTTTATGCCTTTTTGCTTTCTGTGTCCTTTGGGAAGAAGGCTTTATTTACCTTCTTCCAGATCATAAAAATAATATCCTATAATTTCTTCTAGAAATTTTATAGTTTTATCACTTATCTTCAGATTTATTGAGTTTATTGGTACTTTTTAAGTATACAGTACAGTTATATTTATCATTGGGATCTTGTACCTTTACATGACAGGTCTTGGTTCTCATTTTTTCCCCATACCCCAGCCCTCCCTTCACCCCCCCACATTTACAAAGACTTTGTTTCCATTTTTCCTATTCTCATATTTTTTCTTTTCCGTATTTCCTTTCCCCTCCCCTTTCCACTTCCCCTACACAGATTTATAATATTTTTGAAAATTTGTGTATGATGTAAAAGTATGGATAAAATTTTTTTTTTTTTTTTTTTTTGCACCAGGGATCCAACTCCATCCTTGCACTTGTGAAGCAGGCACTGCCACTGAGCTGAATCCCTGGCCTGGATTGAGATTTTTTGATCTTCTCCAAATGAATATCAAATTATTTCAACACAATTTTCATTGACCAGAACCTCCATTACAATGTTGAATAGAAATGATAGAAACAGAAATTCTTGGCTTATTTCTGATCTTAAAAGCAACCAACATTCTACCAGAAAAAAATCTATTATCTATCTATCTATCTATCTTTCTATCTATGAGACTGGGGTTGTTAAGGAAATAGAGTAGGATTAAGAGACAGACAGAGAATGTTTAAATTCTTAAAGCTCCTCAGAATGGCAAGGAAGCTTCTTTCCTAACAGTTCTCGGCAATTTCTCATTTCTCTGATCAGCTATTAGCAGTGGGCTAGGATAGGCAACGCTTGAGCTACATGCCCTAAGTTCAGGGGTAAAGTCGGCACATGGCTGTGCAGAAGTACAGACACCAAGATGAAACTGGGGTTTATAATTAATGTTAAGGAGGAAAAAAGGAGAACAATCATATATAATAATGATAATAATAATTAATAATAAAGCTTTAAAACCAGATGTAGTGGTGCATGTCTGTAATCCCAGCACTCAGGAGGCTGAGGTTGGAGGACTGCCGCAAGTTCGAGCTTAACCTGGGCTACTTAGTGAGTTCAGGGCCAGTCTGAGCTACACAGTGAGATCCTGTCCCTCTTAAAAGAGTAAGAAGCTTTAGTTACATATCAAGAAATGTAATATATAGGTATTACTTGGATTCTGACTCAAATGAATACATTGTTGAACATGTCTAAGACACTTTTGTAGAGTTTCAGAATTGCTTGAGCCCCGGAGTTGGAGCCCAGCCTTGGCAACATAGTGAGACCGCCATCTCAAAAAAAAAAAAAAAAAAGTTTAAGATCCTTGAAACATTCTGAACATTTTCTGCATATTTGATAGAATTCCCTTTTTTCAAATATTTTATGTGGAATAACAGTATTACTATTTTCTGGAATTCTTGTCTTTTGGACATATATAGAAATATTTAGAAATGAAATGCTATGATGTTTGAGATTTGCATCAAAGTAACAGAATGTGAAAGTGGAATAGTAAGTAGGGATATTGACAAAACAAAATTGGTTGGGTGATGAGGATATTGGTTTTTGTTTGTTTGTTTTTGTTTTTTGTTTTTGGTTTTTCGAGACAGGGCCTCACTATGTAGTTGACCTGGAACCCACTATATAGCCCAGGCTGGTCTTGAA